GCCTGACATCAATCCCAGGGAAAATTCTGGAGCAGACTATAAAGCAAGCACCTTGAAAACAACACAGTAATAACGAGAATACAACATGGATTGTTCAAGACAAAACCTGACAGACTATACCTGTATAAACTTTGCTTTTACCTGTGAATATGCAGCCATCTTTGCAATCTGGCTGCATTCTGAGATGCAATCAAAACCACACTCTGGCTGAAATCCTGTTGTGCATCTTCATATGCGCAACAATGATGATGTTAGCAGCAACCATCACTGACTAAAGGCTTCCTTTTCAGACTTCATTTCTGGTTAGCCTATTATATATACAACAGAGAAGTTTGTAGGCCTCTAAAATGACCAGAAGATGGTCAGAACTTGGGGCGGGGGGAAAGATACCAAGGTGAGTGATAACAAGGAAGAGACTGCCTGAGTGTACATGCAGAGTGAAGTTCTACTTAGAAGAAGATTAACAATTAATTTTGCCATATGGCAGTGCAAATAATTATAAAAATCTTTGTTCATCTTTGGGTTGGAAAACCCCAAAGCCAAACCATCACATCCTCAGAATCCAACATTTTGTTCTTTTTCATTCTGGAACACATTGGGATGCAGGAATAAGGGCAGTGCATTTTTTCACCCATAATAATTCAAGACTGCCTTTTTTGTAGCTTTCAAATGATCTAAGGTAGGGGTCTCAAACATGCGGCCCGGGGACCATTTACGGCCCGCCAGATGATAGTTAGCGGCCCCCACCTTCCTTGTCCCCCCTCGAAGCGCCCACACGTCCTCTCCTATCAAGAGTCAAAAAAGCCTTGCCTCGCTTGCCAGCTCTCTCCCAAGACAGCGCCTCTTGCACCCTCCATCCAGAACTGCAGCCTGTCAGCCAGCCTGCCTGTCTGCCGGCTGCCTGTCTGCAGTTCCGGATGGAGGGTGCAAGAGATGCTGTCTTGGGGGACAGCCAGCAAGCGAGGCGTGCTGCCAGCCCTTTTCCCTGACACCTGAGCCGCCGCCGAGCTCCCAGCCTGTCCTCAAAGAGCGCTGCCAACAGCACCACCAACAGCAGCCGCTGCCGCCACCTCTTCCAGGGAAGAGGCTCTCTGGCTTTCTTTCTCTCTTGGCATCCCCAGCACCAGCCTGGCCAGCAGCCGCCTTAGCACCCAGTGGTGCATCCTCTTCCTCCTCCTGCTCCTCTTTGTCCTGCTTCAGCTGCTTCAGCTCTGGAGGCTGCCTGGGCTCTCCTCGCGAAGTTTGATCCTCTGTCATGGTGGGGGTAACTGCTGCTGCTGCTGAGTGCACCTTTTTTGAGGGGGGGGTCCTTCAGAGGAAGGTTGCCGGACCTCCGTGTGCGTGTGCATGTGCATGTGTGCATGCATGTGTGCACCTGTGGGGCGTCTCACCCCGTTCTGTTTAATTTCGCATGTACCAATGGGGCTTTTCTACTTTGGCAAGGCAATTCTGTGAGGGTTTTTAAAATTTTATGTTGCGCCTCTGCGGTCGCCGGCACTCCCTCCCTTCTCCGCTTCTTCGTCTTGCTGCTGGTGGTGGTGGTGGTGGTAGTGAAGAAGGAGACAGAGGGCATAGTGGCCAGCGACGAGGGCTTACGTCCCCCTTCTTCTCCTCGGAGCCCCAGCCGGGCTAAGGAATCCCCTGGGCGGCTTCCTCAGGCTCTTGCTCCACTTGGTGGGAAAACTGATGCGGCCCAGCCTCACCCAGCCTCTGCCTCCAGTGGCCCCCAGGTAAATTGGGTTTGAGACCCCTGCTTTACAGGGATCACAGTTGCTCCAAAAGTTGTAACATCAATCCTAACCTCTCATATGCTAACAAGCACAGACTGTTCATAGTTACAAAGGTTCTTCCTTCCACACATGCCCTTTTCCAATTTAAACAAACAAGAAGGGCACAGGTAAAACAGTTTAATCATTCTCTCAGAGTTGTCCAAGTTTTAGAAACAGCTTCTACAAACATAAAACATGGGAGTGACACATCTTGAACACAAAAGATTAACCATGGAACCAAGCCACATATCTCTAGTAAGGTTTCATCATTCTCCAATGAAGGACATTGAACACAGAAAGCCATGGCTATGGACCAACACCACCTGTTGATGCTGGTGCTTTAACTTCCTTGTAGAACCAGAACCAGAATACATATTGCACACCAAAAATTACTAAAATTTTTGCAGTATACCACTGCTGCTTCGCAAAATGAACAGCAACAAATATGAATATGAAAGCCTTGCTATGAATAAACCCCAAGGTATTTAAGGACTGTCTATTAGGTATGCATTGATCATTTGAATAAACGGAAATATCTATCTTTAATCATTTAAAATTATTCACTCAATCCAGCAAGTGTACAGGTCTATCCATACTTACCTAGTACAGCAAAACTATTCTTATAACAACCTACCTGGAAGTAAACCCCAGCAAACTCATGAATTCAGCATGCTTAAAATCACAGCATATATTATGATTTATAGCTGACTAAGCTCTGTGCACTGGCTGACACAGGAACTTCCCTAAATACAGTGTGCCTTGCAGCTCTTGCATTACAGCAGTGTTCCAGACAGACATGGCACTCCTTAATGCACTGGCAGACAAGCAACCATTGTTGTTCTTCTGGCAACAAACGGACTTCTTACAAATTTGTAGCAATGCACTGTTTATCCTTATATTCAGTGTCAGATAATATATCACCTGTGAAGGTGGAAGGACCGAGAGAAAGGCCTCTCCTGAATATCTTAACATTCAAGCAGGCTCATAAAGGTAGGTATGGTCCTTGAGAGAAGCTTGAGTCCAAGCCGTTTAAGGTTTTATAGGTTAGAACCAACACCTTGAATTAAACCCGGAAACAGATCAGCAGCCAGAGGAGCTGCAGTAACAGGAGGTGTTATGTGATTCCTGTAACCAACCGACCAACAATCTGACTGCTGCACCCGAGATTGAACACTTCAGCCTGGAGAGCCAAGATCTTTTCTCACCTCAACAGCAGCTCTAGAAGATTGTCAAAAAAATAGCAATTGTAATAAAAGGAGACAAAAGTAAGAGATCCTCTTGCTTACACACATCAGTGTAAGGCAGCTTCTGCTGTAGCCATCCAGATTTACAGGAGGCATGGCTACAATAGAAGCTGTAATTTCTATGAACAAGGGCTCATTGATAATCCCACTCTTTTTTTTGTCTCCTAGGTGCTTTATTATGGGTTCCTGTTCGCACCATCTTTGTCTTGTGATTTGATTCGTGCTTTTTATTTTATTACTGCTATTGATCTATTGTTATTTCTGTTTGATTTTGTTAGTTGTTAACTGCACAGAACAGTGCAGTTAACAACTAATAAAATGGGGTGAAGAAAGAAAGAAAGAAAGAAAGAAAGAAAGAAAGAAAGAAAGAAAGAAAGAAAGAAAGAAAGAAAGAAAGAAAGAGAAAGAAAGAAAGAAAGAAAAAGAAAGAAACTTTGTCTCAGCATCATCACCAAACCTTTAAAAAGAAGCATTGGAGACAAGGGGTGCTCAGTTGAGAGGAATTGACACCCTCACAAGTGCCCCTTCCTCCCTCTCCATTCCACTAACCAATAGCACCCCTGCACAGATTTTTCGACATTGGCACAAATGATCACATCTGAGATGCTGTTATAGTGTTAATTGAGACATGCTGCATTAAAATTTAGTATGATATGAATTAATTTGCTTGGAAAAAAATGTACAACTGCAAGCGCTGAAGGGGGAAAAGGATTCAGGGGGGAAATTCCAGACTGATTCACAATGGCTTGTACATCCTGAAGTCAACAGAAAATAGTAAGAATCTGACTATCTCAATCTCAGAGAATTCCCACATTATTTCTCAATGTAGTTGCCCCCCGCCAAACAAGTTTAAGATTATAGCCTAAAAAGTTTAGATAATATGCTATTACAGATTACTTGCTACTGCTAAAATGGGAAATAAAGCTACAGAACATGTACCTATTACCAACTTATTAAACCAACAGCTTCAGAAGAAGCTGCTCACCTTGTTTCAGAGTTCTGCAGAGAGGCCACGAAACAGCCTGATGGAATGAGGTGAAATGAAGACAAAAGGATACAATGAATAGCATGGAGGAATTAGATCAAAACATTTCTATTAAACCTTGTGTCATTAAATGTACGGACATACATATGGCACTACAGGAGAATGGTACAAATCTTCCAAAGAAATTCAAAAGCATCAGATCTACAGCTGCGGCATTCAAAAAAAGGGTTAATTTGAAAGTAAGAGCAAGGAGAACTGCAACCCTGACCTTCCCTGTCCCTGTTGGGACTCTATGCGGTTGGAGATCTTCAAAACTTAGGGTTGTAACTGGAGAGACTTTACATGGAACAGACTGTACCCTCTTCCAATCGTCCTTTGCATGAAAAAAGCTACAGGTAATAGTCAAAAGTAGAATTCTCTTCCTGCTTACACTTTCAAATTAACCAGTTTGTGAACGCTTGAAGGAGACGAATTATAAAATAAGTTCTGCTCAGTTTTTACACAGTAAACTGAACACTAGTGAGATCTTCCAATAAAAATTATAAAATAAGTTCTGCTCAGTTTTACACAGTAAACTGAACACTAGTGAGATACCTATCACTATCTATGCTTCAATCACTGAGGTTAAGGACGTTCTGGGACTAATCATAAGCCATCACGTATTCCTGGCTGTTAAAATGTTAGCTATAGGACTTTGCATGAGAAAGGAACATGCAGCCTTTACCAGAGATAACAATGTCCTGCCAGCATCTCTTTGCTGGGATACTTTCCACAAATTTCTCTTCCTGGAATGGTACGAAGGAAGAAGACAGAGCCAGTTCTGAGACAGCCTTTTTCTGCCTAACAACACATATATCAGCTTGTTAGCTAGTGTCTTTGCACAGGTATGCCAGCTGATGATGATGGGGTATGAGATCCAGAACTCCAGGCAGCTGCTAGACTGGGAATGACTGGACTAAATAATTTAGCTTATTTTTATAAGAATGTTGGGAGAAAACAAAGGAGATAACTTACAGGATAGCTTGACTGATATCTGCCAATTTAAACACTTCCTTCAATGGCAATTAAATAGACAGGTTATTTCTGTTAACACCATCTTTCTTTGATCTTCAGCTTCATAATAGCCACAGTCAGAGAAGTGGCTTGCTAGACACTTGCTAATGCACAGGTTGGAAATAAGTTCTTAAAAATCCGTTTGTGATAGAAACTTTTTATGACCTCAGATTTGCTGATTTTTTTTTCACTGACAAATTTAACATTCAATATTTTAAGCACCAATACTGTTAATTTCTTGAAATAATGATTATTAATGTTATTTTCACTTGCTGCTTTGGGGGGATACTTTAGGGGTCTGGTCTTTTTTAAAAACTGTAAATGCTTTTTTTTTAAGTTAACAACTGAATAATTTACCATATTTATCAACAATTTATGCATCAAATTAATTTTTATACTAATGATTATTGTTCCTAAATGGCTATACCACTAAGCTACAGAAAATCACTTCCTATATTTCTGTTGCTTGAAAAATAAGAGCAAGGGAGTAATAAAAACATTTAACATTCCATAGATCTTCACTTTGGAGTTTATTCCTCACAGCCAATTCATGGAGCTATTCTTAACCACGGAGAACCACAGCTAGTGCCTGCGTGCCAAGAGACATGGAAGACTGTCTGCAAACATAAAAAGGCACAAGTATAAACATGCCTTTCAGTGATTTAATCAGATAAAAATCTCACCCATTTCTCTCAGATGGCAAGAAAAGCTGTAGTTCCTTTTACAAACAGCAGATCTTTCCACCATGCCAGCTACCAGCCATTAGAGTGCTGAATTAGGATTCAAAAGACAGAAGTCTGAAACCTCATTTGGAGCCACACCCTCTCAACCTAACCTACCTTACAGGAATGTTGCAAGAGTGAAGAAGGAGAAAGGAGAGCCATGTACACCACCTTGAACCCGTTGGAAGAAGGATGAGATATAAAAGCAAGAAACAGACAAAATGACATATAGAAAACGTTGCAGTGAGTGATTCAAGTCATGTTGAGCTTTGCCAGAATTCCATAATCAGTTCCTGGTGCTCCGGACCGATTCCCTATCTGTGGAGTACATTTAAAAATTGTAGGTGGAAATGAGGTGGCATATACTTGCAAAAATGCACTGTATTTGAGAGAATTATGCCATAAACCAACACCACCCAGCATCACTGCTAACAACAGACACCATTCTTTTCATTCCACCAAAACGTCTCAACATTTTTTGGTTGGGTTTGATTTTAGTTTATTTTCTCTATGTTGATTGGTTTTACTTGTTTTTCGATTCATTTACGTCTCTTTTTTTTGCAGCCACCCAGAGTAGTGGCCTGTCACTAGTTGAGTGGAGTATAAGTTCAATAAATAATTAAACATCACTCTACAGTGAGCACACATTAAATGAAGTATTATTTTTGTACTATTTCACAAATAACATCTTATTCAATGTAGTGAAGTGGAGAAAATATAAATGATTTATCCAAGACCTGAAGAGGAATTTCTGTTGTGTCTCCCTAACTAAAAAGGCTTTGTCACATTTGTTCAGAAATAAGAGATTCAGGAATATCTTTTACTTCCTCTTGGTTTTTGTAAGGATATTACAGCAAAATAATTTTAATACCCCAAATCTAAAGGACAGAAATATGACTGCAATGAAAACTGGGCATACGGTAATATGTGTTTTCATAGTGGCAAAATACCATATTGGCCTATGTGTATTTAGATTGTTAATATAAAGCTATCTCCCTGAACTCTTGTCATCAAGATGCTCTGGACTGAGGTTACTGTTATCGTCAGCAGGAATGATTATGGCCTCATACTGACTAGGAATGACAGAGGATGTACTCTGCCATATCTGTTTGGTAGCAAAGTAGGGAAAGTTGCCTTAAGGCCACTATGGCATATCACTTGTCCATTCAAAATTAAGTGCCCTTCCTCCCAAACATTTAATAGCTGAAATCTTGCTCTTCAGCATAGTACGCTGTACTAGAATTGCCATCATCATTTAGTTGTGTCCAACTCTTCGTGACCCCATGGACCAGAGCAAGCCAGGCCCTCCTATCTTCCACTGCCTCTCGGAATTGTGTCAAATTCATGTTGGTTGCTTCAATGACACTGTCCAACCATCTCATTCTCTGTCGTCCCCTTCTCCTCTTGCCTTCACACTTTCCCAACATCAAGGTCTTTTCCAAGGAGTCTTCTAGAATAGGCCCACTGAATCAGTGGGAATTTGGTGTATCAATACTGCCATAGTTTCCATTGATTCAAATGGGCCTACTCTGCTTCCAACTGACAATGCTAAAGTAAGTCATAACTAGAATAGGCCCATTTCAATCAATGGAACTTATGAAGGAAGGCTCAACAAATCTTCACTGATTTAATGGGCCTACTCTAGTGCAAATTGCTAAGTGAGGCTATAGTCAGCCTAAGCATAAATCATTACTCAAGAATTTTAAACACAGAATCATCGTTGGAAGGGTCCACTAAGGTCATCAAGTCCAACCCTTAATTGTTGTAAGCCACCCAGAGACCTTTGGGTAGAGTGGGCGGCATATAAATTAAATAAATAAATAAATAAATAAATAAAAACGGTTGTCTAATGCAGGAATCCAAATTAAAGGAGGTCTGACAGATGGTTGTCCAATTTTCTCTTGAATGCCTTCAGCATTGAAGTGCTCACCACTACCTGAGGTAACTGGTTCCATTGTCATATTGCTCAGTTAAGAAGGTTTTCCTGATAGTCAACCAAATTCTGGCTTCCTATAACTTGAGCCCATTATTACATGTCCTGCACTTTGAGATGATCCAGAACAGATCCTGTCCCTCCTCTGTATGATTAACCTTCAAGTAATAGAGATGAAAATCTCAGGTGAGATGAATATTGCAGTTAATATACTTTCAAGGTTATACAGTTTTCAAAACCACAGCAAACTCAGCAAAAGTAGTGAAATGGAGATGAATATATCACACTTTATTACGTGTCTGTTCTTGTATGTCTTTATCATATGACTTATACATCAAAGTGATGCAAGGCAATAAAACACACAGCCAAGCATTGCCCTTATGCATACCATTGCAAAACTTGTCCTATTCATTCTATTTAACATCTGGGGGGGGGTTCTAGTTAAGTATTAGAAAAAAGTCAGGACGGTCTACATGCAACACTGTACTAGTGCAGCCAATCCCAAGAGGGGGCCATACAGCCCCCTGAAGGGACCCTGGTAATTTGAAGGGGGCCACAGATTAGAAACAATCCTTTACACACCGCTTTGTAAGGTCTGTTATTCAACTTATTCAATCCTGATTTGGCCTACAGTTCTCTCACGCCCTATTTACAGCTGTGTCCAAAAAAAGGTTGAGAATGGTTGCCCTAGTGGACATTGATTAGTGTAACAGGACTTGCACTCTGGAGCAGGTTTTGGGGTACACTGCAGGATCTTTGAGAGAGTTTTTTCCTCCTCCCTCATTAAAACAGTATTCAGATCACTTTTTTGCATATAAAGAATTTTCTGCAACACACACTACATGTACATTTTTCACTAGCTAATACTGTGTACTTAAACACCATTAACAGCAACAATAAACACCAGGACAGATAGAAACAGTTACATGGTTTGCACCTCAGTCCACTTAGATTCTACATTAAAAATCAAACAAAACTGCGAAAAGAAGTGAGAGATTAAGGAAGGTTAATAGGGATGGGGTGGCTAAGTATAAAGGAGTAAAAGAATGGATTTGCTCAGTTCCATTCAAAGATACATGGTCCACTTTAAGAGAAAGAAAATATGTGTTTTGTGAAACTCAACCTCTGAAGATTCAGCTATACATTCAATATAACTCATTTGCACAAAATAACTACTAGCTTGTTCAGTGAGTTCACCTAATGTCAAGACCAAATAAGGCTTTGCTACTATACAATAATCCTAAACTGTAATGCATTGCTTCCTGCACTCATTACTCTATATAAACAAAAGAGGTACACTCAAATCACCATTAGTATGGAGAGTAATCCTACTACCTATTCCTAGTATTGATGGGTTTTGGTATAGTAATCATGGTTGTCATTCCCATTCTGGATTCTTGCCTTGATCTAGGAGAGAGGAATTAGAAGTTGGTGGTTTCTGTACAAGTCAGCACCACACATTTCAGATTGAACATTGCTATTAAAGTCACATACCTGGTTTCACAGGTGCCTGGCACCATAGTACCTGGTGGGTGCGTAATGTTCGCAGGCTTGATGTCCGCACAATCTTTGCTCTGTGACACACTGTGCTGTTGAAAAGGGGACTGGAGTAACTAATAACGACAGTACGTAGGAGTCCTGCCATGTTGTCTGCAGTTCAGCCCGCAGGATCACCCTGTTAGGAAGCCACACAGCCGTCCTGTTGTATACAAAGCAATTTGTTCTTTAGAAATCAATGGCATTGGAGATTAAGGAAACATAATGTGTCTGATTTAAAAGGCCAGTTTAGGATCACAATCCATATCTACACATCATAAACACATCAACAAGGTCCATCACTCTTTCTCTGGAATCTTGATGATCTATGCAGAAATAATACTCTTCAGAAAACACAATACATCCCATACTTTTCATTGTTTGGAGACAATATTCAAAATTTAAATGATGTCCAAAGTCCTCTTGGCTTTGCACAAATCCAAAATTGCATAAAGGAAAACACAATACATCCCATACTTTTTATTCTGTTTGGAGGTAATATTCAAAATTTAAATGATGGCCAAAATCCTATTGGCTTTGCACAAATCCAAAATTGCATAACTGGCATGTGTGATTATTGTGACCAGCTCTTGTGTGTTCCAACATAGATACATTACACACTAGGTTGTGTGCTGGGGCATGTGACAGATGGCCATAAAAACTGTGAAAAAGACTTGTGCAATTTCCCTAAAACGTTAGGGTTCTGGCCAATATGTCTTCTAGCCTTGATGCAAACACATGTAAGTATTTTACCAGCAGTGTAAAAGCACAGCACACAATACTACAGTGACAGTGTCTCCACTGTCTGCTTTCTACTTTGCTTATGCAGTAAATCTTGGATTCTATCTTGAGCATCTCTGTGTATCCCCAAGAAAGCTCAATGCTGAGACTCCAGAGAAGCTGCCTGAGAATTACAGAAAAAATACTGAGTAGACTGACCAAGGTCATCTTCTTATTTTTCAAACTAAATCTAAAAGCAGAACAGCCACCTTCCCATTAAGTTACTCTGATCCTTCATACACTTGAACCCCAGAAACAAAGAACAATTAGCTACCGATCGTTTTTAAAAATGTGTCATATCCATGCATAGACTTTAACTTTAAAAATATGGAAGACTGGCTTTTGTATAGGATGGATTCAAATACATTTGAATCATGATTTAAATCATGATTTACATTTTAAAAAACATCTTTGACAGGTTAAATTAAAAAATATTTTTTACAAATTTAAATCATGATTTAAATCAATTTGATTTTCTTTCATCCTGCTTTTGTATCAACTCTTACAATACCTACAAACATTCTGAGGTGCAATCCCACAACAATGGAATCAATTAAAGTTTTACCAATGTTTTCAATAGGTTCTAGACACAATTATTATGCCTCACTTTTCAAATCCAGTTACCTGCATTTATGATGTTCTCTCCTTGAAATAAAGGTTGTTAAGATTAAGCATATTGCAGTGTTTATCCTTGAAAAGAAAGACTGGAAACTTTTAAGAAAAACCAAATGTTATACAGATAACCTATAGCACAGATTTCTTCAGCTTAACCTCAAACCATAAGGATACTACATACAGTACTAGCAAATACCAGTATTTCATAACACTGGTACCAGCCGATAATACATAGTCCATAAATTAGTGTCCTTTTCTGCTGCACTATCACTATTTTTACTGCAACCATAGCAACATCCAAAAAACTAAAAATAGTACCTGCATGTGAAAGAGCAGCAATATTCTCACTCCAACACAAGTTGAACTAGTAAAACAGCCGCTATTTGAAAAAACTGATACAGCAAAGACTATGCTTAGCAACATACTAAACATGTAACTATAACCTGCTACAATTTACAAGCTGTACTTACTTAACCTTCAAATGGAAAAAATAAACCCTTGAGCACTACGAAGAAAACAATATACAATCATTCTAATTTTAAAAATAAGCCAAATCATAAGCAAAACTATTGGTGCTATTTTTTTAAAAAAATGAAACAGATTGAAAACTGATCCTCAGTGCAGTGATACTTAATAAATGGAGTTATATTATATATCAAGAAAACATCTTCGCAAATTTAATGTACAACTGAAACAGTTGCCAGCAGGCAGTTTCTAACAAAATCCTCATGAACAGAAAACACTGTAACACTGCAAGACAGATGTAATGCCACGTACTCAGATACTGAAAGCATACTGTACAAGAAATAGTTTCTCTGTGTCTCTCCCTCTCTCTCTCACACACACACACACACACACACAGAGAGTAGAAAGAATATCTGCATAATGGGGGGGTGCTACCCTCAGAGGCGACTAGATGCCAGATAGAAACATTCATTTAAACAAATAAATCACATTAGTTCCCCGACTATTCAGGCATTACCACATTTGCAGGAAACACAAGAAGCAGGAATCCCCATTCATTAGCAGTTCCAATTGGCTGCTCGCTGAAGGGAACGCTGTGCATAATTTGCACCGGGCACACATGATTGGACACCACTGCTTATCGGTTTCTGACGAGAGTCAAGTTCATTCATTGCGGGAAGGACTTGTGCTCTCTCAGAGTCATGCACTTCTAATTTACGCAGGCTGCCGCCACTGTCCAATTGCCTACCAAGGCACACAATTTCAAGTACAGTAATTGTTCTTCCTAATCATCTGAGCGTGAAAGTGGAGATCAGTGCTCCTGATCAGGGCAGCCACCTTCTTATGACTAATCTTGTCTACTAGACTGCATTTAAAATGTGTTCATTTATTAATTATGTTGCAGCTCTGGGGATACCATCTGCACTTTCAAAGTGAGCTTTTTAGTTTTGGGCTCAGATGCACTTACAAGATGCAATTTTAGTTTATATCAATCAAGAGTTTAGTTCCATGCAAGTCTGCAGCCTAAATCATCTTCTCCCAGGATCCCTGAACACAACAATACCAGCATTCAATATCTATTCCCTTGAGAATTTTCTACAGTTCTAGGACACCTGCTACTTACTTTTCTTCATACCCACGCAGGACAACTCTGATGTATATATGGCATCTTCAAATGGGGCTTTTGGCCAGGTCTGAAGATTGCAAAATGACATAGGCCAAGAAGTGGTATGTAAGGCCAGTTTGCAGTGCACAATGCTGTTAATGAGTGAGGTAACTGCATAATCAAACCTTCAGGACACTCACAGAATACATGCCAGAGAGCTGTGCCCAAAAACGCAACCTCTCAGCCTGTGCACCAAATAGTCTGAACACAACCTACCTTTTATATTTTAATGAAGTCTGGAACTGATGGTGCAGAATAGCTGAAAGTCAGCATCCTGAATTACGCCTAGAGAACCACAGAGAGTAAGCCAGTAAGAAGATAACTACATTTTTAATAGGTAAAGCTTTGATCCTAAACAAACATCCTTGGCAGCAAATCCTGCTGAACTCAGCCAGACCTCTACAAAGAAAACATAGGCAGAACTAGGACGTAAGACTTCTCAACAATGTCCACATTGACTCTGAAGGGCCAGGATTATTGGGCCCATAAGACTGTTGCCTTTCACGCACTCCTTTCTTGCCGTTGCCACTTCCATCTTTCTTCTTACCATAGAAAAGCCATTCAGAGAAGGGCTGAAGGGCTGCATTATGTATTTTCATTTACTGTACAACATAAGCAATTGCCCAGCTGGAAACACACGCAGTTTCATAAAGAACGTTTTCTGAATTTTATCTTCAGCAGTTCTAATTGCTAATGACAACCATGACTGTAATGGTGATTGTAATAACAGACATTACCCTCCAGTTTTTCACAGAAATGTGTAACACCAAGAACACAGTGGCGGCTTTTGAAGTTATGTGGGAAACAAACAACCCCTTGTATGTTTAAATTGCTCTTTCTCAAGCCTGTGGCCAGAACCTCTCCTATCTTTTTATGCTAACAGACCTCATTAAATCTGAAACGGTACAATGACCAGCCTCAACCAAGGTCATCCCCTCTACTTCTGCTGTTCCTCTGACCTCCACGTAATAGACAGGAAGCCACGTTGACTTTACTACTGTAACCTTCTTCTGACAGACAAAAACAGGCTCCCACTGGCAACTTTTATTTTCCACCTCCCAGTTTGTTTTTGCTACACAGGAGGAAAGCTTCTCTGATTCTCTGCCAGATGCCATAAAGGCATTCTCCTCTTCTTGTGGCCAACCCCACCCTGAAGAAGCTGCCTCTTCCTTAGAAGGCATGGCACTTTTCACATGCCCTGCCTTGGAGCGCCAGTTTGGGATGATGATGATTCGGTTGCCCCAATTTTTAGGGTGCCCGAGAAGAGAAGGCGGACCCGTCACAGGGAAGGCCCCCCCCCGAGCTTCAGACAACCCTCAATAATAGCAAAGATGACTTCAGCGCGTTCAAGCTATACGGTGGCGGCTGCAGAAGCAGGGGGCTCCTCGCGAGTAAACCGGCGGCCGGCTGATTCTTCAGCGGCATCTGCTGGAACAATGAGGGCAGAATGGGAAGCAGCCGCCGCTGCACCTCCTCCTTCCTAACTTCAGTGGGCCTAGAATAGCAACCGAGCGGGGATTCGTTGCTGCCGCCGAAGTGGCCGCTGCTCCCGGTTTATGCATGAAAAGGAACTGGGGGGGGGGGGGGACAGGAAAGTGGCGGATCCCTCTTAAAATCCAACCCCCTCGCTTCGTGCTGGACTCGGTTCCTGTCCACAGAAAGGGCGCAAGGCGGCTTTTGAGCCACGAAGTCCCCAACCCTCACACTCACACACACACAACTGTGAGGGCTCATGGATGCGAAGATGGAGGCGTGCAAACATCTGCCGCCCTGGCATCGCCCAGTTACCGTCGCGCGTGGAGAGAGGGGGGGGGAAGTGCAACGGTTTTCATTTTTAGCTCGGCTGCCCCGCCGAAGGCACAGCAATCCGAGCAAGCCAGGGTTTAAATGAACCAAAGTCAAACGGAACACCGCCTCCCCTCGCCCGAGACACACACACACACACAAAAAGGGGCCTGGGGAAGGAGAGTGGGGCGGGAGAGAGACAGCGAGCGAGAGAGAGAAAGAGACAATAGCAGCTTCACCTACCCGCCCGCTCCGCTTGCAAAGCCGCGCTCCCACTGACCTTCCCCGGCTCGCCCGAGCCGGCGCGCGGAAAGGGGAAGCCCAGAGCAAAAGCCCCGGCGCCAGGGCCCGGCCAAAAGAGGCGGGAGGGGAGGGGAAGGGAGGGGCGCAGCCCAGGAATGGTTGGAGACCGGAGCGGAGGGGGTGGTTCCCCCCCCCAAATAAATAAA